TCTACTAGAAGATCACCTTATTCGTATAACTTAAGCTCAATTATCTTGTTTCCAACAAATGATTTTGAGAATCTGTCAGCTGTAAAAAAATTGGTGATATTATGATAAATAATTTATCAGTTGAAAATGTTTTAATATCTATTGAAAAAGCCGAGATAATTAAGCTGGAAGTGCACGTAAAATGTGGGCTTCTTATCAGAGAAAATACATACGACACTGTCAATTTTGTAGTAGAAGAACATCTGTAATCAATGCATTATATCGTGTTTTCAGTTTCCAAAAAAGTCAAATTTATAGTTCTTTTCAGGTTTTAGTGTGTTGAAATTGTAGTCGTTCCCGTCCTATAGAAGAATTCTGAATTGCAGAAAGCGTCGAAACAAAAGATCTTCAAACATTTTGGACCACATAGCTCAGAAGACGTCAAGATTCACTGCATCAAAAACGACAGAGAATTTCCGGCTGGTAGAAGTAAGTGAAGAGTGTTCACATCTGGTTNGATTTGATGAACTCGCCCATCCTGGTCAAGTTATCGACGCCTGTAAATATAATCTGGTGATACAGAAAAGTCTGATTTCTGAAATGNNGTNTTCTTCTTCTTTTNTAGTTTNTTTTTTTNGGATATTCTCCCTCTGNTTATTGGCTGATTTTGCATGTATGAATAAATGATTAGTGGATGTCTGTTTGATTAAAAAGTTGTGCTTGATTAAAACATTGTGATTATGAATCGTCTATGGAATTTGGTATATTGCGTTAAATCATTGTGCTTTCTATTTGTTGTCCATGTCAGTGATAATTGCAAGCTTTTTTGTGTCTACCCCAATAGAAATGCTCTGAAAAGATATCCCGGATCTCATCGATCATAAGCGAGGTCTTCACATGACAATCATAGCCCCAACCTTCGGATCCCATCTCACCTATTACAGCCCACCCTTTAACTTGTGCAATTTTGGATAAAAGCCCTATCCTTTAACTGTAAATCTCCTTCTTGAATGTTTTTTTAAAATTGAACAAAATTTTAACATTTAACAACATTTTAGGTTTCTGCTTCTTTTAGACTTTCTTCTTGATTTCTTATCCATATAATTTTTTTCAATTCAACAAGGGAGGTCTTTCCAAAAGGCTTTCAGAATTTTTTTTATTTTTTGGCAGAGGTTAGTTCACCTCTTTAAAAAACCACTGTCAAGATCTGTACATGCACATTTTCCAAAATTCCTGAAAATTTTCGTCTGAAAGTTTCCAAATCCTTCACCATTGTAAACTCTCCTTCGGCCGGATGGTAGTGGCGCGTGTTGGTAAGCTGAAGGTCTGGGGTTCGACTTCCTCGTTTTGGAATTATTTTTTGTTTTTTTTAATAAGATGTTTAGGCACCCATTTTTGTTTCAAAAATGGTTATTTGCGCAAAATTTTGACTTTTCGCTGATGTTTCAATTTTGGAAAGAAGAAATCATCAGTTTTTAATATGCAAAAAACCACTCATAATTTATAGTCATCCTTCAATTTTGAACCGTTCCAATCATTGGTTTTCGATGTATTTTGAGCCAAAAAAGGCAAAAGAACCATGAATAGCTAAAAAAGCTCACTGAAACTCATTCCATTCAAAAAGTGTAAATTTTCCAACAAAAAATTCATCGAAAATTTCATATAGGTCTGCCCATCAAAAGCTTTGAAAATTTCAAAAAATTTTGCATTTTAAAAACTGATGATTTCTTCTTCCCAAAGTTGAAAAATCAGCAAAAAGTCAATTATTCGCGGGGGGGCACAATGGGTGTCTAGACATCTCATAAAAAAGCAAAAAATAATTCCAAAACGAGGAAGTCGAACCCCAGACCCTCAGCTTACCAACACGCGCCACTACCACCCGGCCACCTTACCGCTGAAAACAACAGGGCGCGAGTACAAGTGAACAGTGTTCCCATGAGGTTGCCAAGAGGCGAAAACACAGAGGGAAGGAGAGTTTACAGTGGTGAAGGATTTGGAAACTTTCAGACAAAAAATTTCAGCATTTTTGGAAAAAATGCACATACAGATTTTGACAGTGGCTTGTTAAGGAAAGGAACTAACCCCTGCGAAAAAATAAGAAAATTCTGAAAGCCTTTCTGAAAAGACCTCTCTTGTAAGAAAGTATTCAAGAACAAAATTCAAGGAAAGGGACGAGTCTCCAAAAATGGGACCATAACCAAGGGGATAGGGCCGCGATAGTAGAGATGAGACTGTAGTTAGAGGGATGAGATAACGATTTTAACTTTTGGATGGCTGTTTTGATTGATGAGACCGAGGATTTTCTGGACCACTCTTCTGGGAATAAAGTGGTTGTGTATGTCGTTATTCCTCTGAAAAAACGCCACCCTCGTACTTCCAAATTGACTATCTTGAATTTTATAAAAGGTATTAAAAAAGTTGTTAACTGATAAAATGTTTGTCATACAGTAACTAACATTTTATCAGGAGGCAAAATTTCAATATCTTTCATTGCAATTAACATAATCGGACTGAAGAAAACAAGGGCGGGTGATGTTCTATCAGAGAAAGTATTATTTTTATTCTTTTGAATTCTGTTTTTATAGATAACGACTTTTCAGCGCGAAGCGTTTTCTGGAATTATAATTTTTGCCAAATGATTGTACATCTAACTAGTTAACTTCAATATTCAGTTCAAAATTAAACCTAAAACTTTTGGCATATCCAAATCAACTCCTACTAAAAACTCACCTTTTTCCTATACTGCTCACTCGGGTCTGTGGTTTTGTCTAGTACTGTAGGCCTAGCAAATCCACAGACAAGATTAAGAAAAGTCAACAGACTCGTAAAAAACGTAAGTAGTTAACAACAGCAGCAACTGGTTAATGTTGGTTGTGGAACAGAAATGATTGTTACGCTCCACAGTAGGACTGCTAACATGGTAGCCCTGTGGCCATAAAATGCATTGACTATAGGGGCGTTTGCTTACGGCAAAAAGATGTGTGATTGGCTGCTCATTCCACCTGATTTGTTTAAAAGTCTACAGTAATCTTTTTGGGGGTGCAGTCACACTATACCGTAATTGTTTTGGAGTGCAGACACACATTTGGGGTGAAGAGACGGAAAATTTTATCTGTGTAGTACCGTAAAATCTGTAATAGAGAGGTCTCGGCTCTTTATGACAAGGGGGGGCCGATGAAAAAAAGGGGCCCAAGTGGAAAAATCATGCCTAAGTTGTGATTTACCTATTTTTTTAAAGTTTTGTGACGAAGTTTTCATAGAAACAACCGAAAAACTTGAAAAAGTTGGTAAATCTTGACCTAGTCCACATTTTTCCAGCTTGGGCCCCTCTTTTCACTATGTTAAAAAATATCGATTACTTTCCGGACAACCTAATAGTAAATGGAAAGGAAAGGCAGAGGGTGGTGTATGCGTCATCGTTTTATCTTCTATTCTGGAGAACTAGAGAAAACCAAAATAACTAGAGGATACATATTACAGTACAAATAAAAATACCCAATATGTTCACAATGTCTACCGTCTTAAAAAAAACTTTCAGAGTTGGGCTGGAAACCAATTGCAACATTTATTTGGGGTGACGGAGTCAATACAAGACAATTAAATCTTGGAGAAGAAAAGGAAATGGGTTGGAAAAAAGAAACGAAAGGTGTGATTTGGGGGCATGGTTAGAATCGATTTTACAGCTCACTGAAACTTCTTAATCAAAAGTTTGAAGGCTGCTTTTCTATCGGCTTTTTCTTTTTCAACACGCATTTTCTCGAGTTCCTCATTTGTCAAGCTCATCTCTTTGATCTGAAACCATAATTACAAAAAAATTGTAAACTTTTGTTATCATTCTTACCTTCTTCTCGAAGAATTCTGCCTTGGTCTTGACGACTCCCTTTTCAGCGTGGATTGCAGCTTCGATCTTCTGAAAAATTACATTCCACGAGTATAAGAAAAATGGAGAAAACTTACGGTCGACGGCTTGGTGGAGACTGGTCGAAGACCAGCTCGGACCTTTTCAAGTTCAGAAGTGGAGCTCATTTCGATTCGTCACAAAGATCTGTAAGGAGAGGTACATTACAGATTCGGATGTTTGAAAAAGATTGAAATCAGAAAAGATGTGAGAAAAATGAACAGAAATCTTTAAAAATGAACGAGGGCACCTGCTACCAGGGAAAAAAACTTTGGGGGGGGGCTGGGATGCAGATTTTAGATATTTTAGAGAAAAAACTGTCACCTTGGCTAAATTTTCACAGCTCACATTAGATATATCAAAAAATGACTAGCTAACAAAATGGTAATCCAAATGTGAACAATATTGTTGTTCAACATTGTTCAAATTCAAAAACTGGGTAATCGTTTTTGATATGAGTCATTAGTTCCAAAATTATGAAATCCAATAATCAAAAAAAATAGTTTTCTACTTTTCTTTTTAGCTTTAATATTTTTATTACAGTACTCGAAAATTCAGAAAATGCGGAAGACACTCATTAAACTATAAAAATATTAGAAAGTACAAAGACGTGAGACACAGGGTGAACAATTTTTGGAAATTTCCATACGACTGTAACTGTGTTTTTTTCACTCAATTTAGATCAAACGACATTAAAAAGTATTTGGAAGAAGAAAAGTAGTCCGGGTAAATGAAAGAATACGATTTCAAATGAGCCAGATTCTCCAGATTATAGAAATTTTTGAATTGCCGCGGTTTTAAATATGACTCTCTCTCACTAAATTTTTCTATTGCGAAACTGTTAAAGGTGGGGGGACATGAAAAAAATAATGTTCTCGAAATTCCGTTCAAAGATCCCCTCGAGGAGTTGAACTTGTGAGGGCGATGATTGAGGGTGCGGCGCCGCTACCGACTGAGCCACGCGGGCAAAGAGAAAGCGCACTCCCGATTGCATACATAAAGGCGAAGACGACAGCTGTACGCAGAGTGACATTAAGCTTTGTACACCATGACGGTAGAATGCATACTCTAGCTGCAAAAAACTAAGAAAAATCTCCTGTCCCCCCACCTTTAATAAATTAAAACAAAAACATGACATGGTTTCCGTCTAATCAAGGATCTCAGGCTTTGGTGGGTGTAGTTTTTTCGGGAAAGCTTCCTTTAGGAAGTACTGAGAGGAGGGAGAGAGAGAGAGAGAGAGAGAGAGAGAGAGAAAGAGAGAGAAACCAGCCACGGTTTGAACTCATGAAGGAAAAAGAAATCACAAAATCATACATTGCTACCAAAAAGACTGAGTGAGTCATCCAGGCTAGATTCTAGAGAATTGTCTGTTGAGATGCGTATGCGTCGCGGTCCGATAAATGACTCATCACAGTATCCTTTTGATAGCTTCTATTAAAACAAACAATGACGTCAGAATAGCTAAAGAGAGAGAGAGGGGAGGAGAGAGGGAGAAAAAGTGGGATTGATTTAAAAAAAAGAACACAAATATCAATATCAAAAAGACTGATTGAGTTATTCAGGCTGGATTCTCGATATGGATTCTCGATATATGCTGCGCTGCGTATGCGTGACGTTCGAAAAATGACTCACTACAGTATCCTCGTGATAGCTTAATGGAAACAATCATGAGGCCGGAGAAAAAGCGACGTGCAAAAATAGTGAAGAGGCGATAGAGGCTTGGAGAGGGTGGGCTTGAGAGTGAAAAAAAAGAGAATTCGGAAAAAAGACGGAATAATTTTAAAAACTGTATAACAGTTAAAAATTCTGTTTTCTGGTTATAATTTTGGGCCGCTAAATGTAAGAAGAAGTGGGCCGGGATCTGAAAAAAACCGACTAAGCCCGGCCCTGCTTCTTATAATTAAAGAAAGGAATAAGAAAAACAACTAGCAATTAGAATTTGTGAGTCAAACAGGCTGGATTCTAGAGACTTCTCTGCTGCGGTTGGGGCGGTCGAAAAATGACTCATTACAGTATCCTTGTGATAACTTCAATGGAAAAAAATGACGCCAGAATAGCTAGAGAGTGCAGAGGAGAGAGGGAGAGGGAGAAAGAGAAGGATTGATCTAGAAAAAAAGGTACACAAAATCATAACTAGCAAAAAGATGGAGTGATTCACTTCGAATGGGTTCTATAGAATTTTCAGCTGCGCTGCGTATGCGTCGCGGTCAGAAATGACTCATTACAGTATCCTTACGAAGGGCTCAATACATGACACCAGAGAAAGGGGAGTGGAGAGAGAGACATGAGATGCATTGGTGGACTTGAGAATGAGAAAAATGTTGTTTCTCACGAATTTAAAAACTGTGAGGTATCCCTGGTAAGGATTCTGGGGTTCCAGTAACTATCCTTGGGAAGAAAGAGTCAATTGTTCTAGAAACTTCTCAGCGTATGCGTTGCGGTCAAAAGCTGACTCATCAAGGTGGAATGGGAACCGGTTGCACAGTGAAAACAAAGCAGGGAAATGCTGCTGATAAAAACATGAATGTGACGAACCCGAAAAAAATAGAAAAAAGATTTCGATGCTAATCTGGTAAAGGAACCTGACAGAAGATTGTAAAAAAACACCTTCTACTGCTTTTATGCGCCTTTGGTGTACTGGTTAAGCTGGATGTGTGCTGATCGGGGACATGTGAGTTCGAGTTCTTGAAATATTTTTTTTTGGGATTTTTTTTTCGAATTCTACGAGATATTCTGAATGATAGCAGATCCTTTGCGATGCATTGATGGTCATTTTTTTCCTAGATTGTCTTTTTTCAGCCTTTCTCTCAGTAATTTCTCAATTTTCTATTTTTTCCGATTCCGAACTTTTTCCTGGCGAAAATCCGTAAAATTAGGCTAGGTATCACAATTAAAATATTCAAAACCCCTTTTTCCACACTTTTCGAAACGATTTTCTCTGTCTTTAGCCGTCTGAAACCGAAAACTCCGCAGAAAATGGCTCGAGAAATAATTCGCAATTTTTCCGCGCGGCAGCTTTGCGTCGGCGACGCCCCGCCCACTCGCGGAGAAAACGGAGGAAAATGAAGAGCACAAAATAAGCTGTAACTCGGGAATGAGCGAATATTTTTAGTTAAAAATTTGGAAATATGCTAATTAGGAAGAGGAGATCATATTAAAATAAAAATATCCCATGAAAAAACAGTTTGAAAAATTTTTGTGGTCCCTAGACATAGGATAAGCTAAAAATTGAGAGAACAGTCAAAACCGTCTCCGAGAAAAAAAGTCACATTTTGTGGGGAAAAAAAGGAAGAAGAATGGGAGGCCTACACGAATAGAAAGCATGGTGGGGAAGATTAGTCATCACGCTCTCTCACTTTTTCGTTATATTTTTCCACTCACTGTCTGCTTCTTCATCTGTTTCATACTATTCATCAATCGCCTATCGATATGAGATATTTTGATCAATGAGCAGTTTTTTTTCGAACAAACAATCAAAAACATCTATGAATGATGAAATCGGGGTGAAATGAGAGGCGGAGGGTAGAGATAACACGGGGCCATCAGAAAAGAGAATATGATTGCATCCTTGTAGAGACAGGGTTATTTGTATTGAGTAGGAAATATCGAATATGTTTTTCTAATGTACCCGCAAACAGTATAATAGAAGGCCACCCTTCACTTGCACTTTGACCTCAATTATCTTCATTTTCTAAAAAAACATCTCAGAAATCTGTCAACTGATAAAATATTTGTCATAATATCACCTATTTTTCATCAATTCACACTTTTTTGATATTTTATATAGAATTTGAGATAATTGAGCTAAAAGGGCAAGTGTACGGTATCACCAGTGAAAGTATTTTGCGGCACGAGCAATTAATGAGCAAACACATGGGCCAAACGACAGAGGTAAAAATGCTTCTAAAAATTCAAAGAAGGCTTCTATTGGAAGTGGGATTCTTTCAGATGTGGGTGTTAGGGGTCACCTTCTTGTATTGAGGTTTTCACGGTAATCATTGGCGTGAATTAAAAAATATCTTAATTTTTATGAAGGCTCGCAGGATGGCAATCAGAAACTAGGCAGAATAAGCTAAACAGTGAAAAAACAGTCGAAACGGTCCCAGAGAAAAAAGTCACATTTTGTGGGGAAAAAGAAAGAAGAAGAATGGGAGGCCTACACGAATAGAAAGCATGGTGGGGAAGATTAGTCATCACGCTCTCTCACTTTTTCGTTATATTTTTCCCACTTACTGTCTGCTTCTTCATCTGTTTCATGCTATTTATCAATCGCTTATCGATATGAATTGCATTCATAGACGAGGATCTTTTTTTGAACAAACATTCAAAAACATCTAGAAATGATGAAATAGTGGGGAAATGATAAACGAGAGATACTAACACAGGTTTTCAGAAAACAACTTTCCTGCTTCCGTCTCTTGTATGCTTACTTACAAGGGAAGTGTTTTCAGAGAGGCGTTGAGAATTTGCTCATAATTTCAGTACTGATAGTTTGAGATATCCCCAACACGATGACAAAAAAATCTAAGTCATAACCCCACCAGGAAGCTGAAAATCTTCGTCTGAAAATTCTGCCCGATTTGGGCGCGCACTTTCCCCCCTCTCCTATACGCCCTCCGCGCCAGTGGAAAATGTCGGTTGTGTGGTGTAGCGGTAAGAGGGTAACTCATTAGGTGAGACTCCGCTGGTTCGAACCCCACTGTGGTTAACATTTTTTTTTTGTTTTTTTTTCATGTTTTTCTAACAATCAGAAGTTATCAGTAGAGCATGGATTTGTATTTCAACTCGCAGAAAATTCTGGAAGCAGCAGAAAATTGCTATAAAAGGCTAGGGGTTATGACCTAGATTTTTTCGTCATCGTGTTGGAGATATCTCAAACTATCAGTACTGAAATTTTGAGCAAATTCTCAACGCCCCTCTGAAAACACTTCCCTTGTTAGTTAGAGACGAAAGGAAGTTAGGAGACGTAGAGTAATGTTATGAAACCGAAAATCGTGAATACGTAATGTTGAGAACTTTTAGGAATTTTTCGTATGAAAAAAAGTTGAATAAGAAACATTGTTTGTGCGTGTTTGATACCAACAAGAGATGTATAATGAGGGAAAGGACCATAACACTGATTAAATCGGAAAGGGTGATTTACAGGGTATCAGGTTACTTAAGGCAGAGATGTCGCGGGTCAGGCTTTTCCCGCTTTTTCAGAAAACCCGCCTTCGACAACCAAAACAATAAAAAACATTTAAAAAAACAGTCTCAGAATCAATGCGTGAAGAGCTATTGGATTGATATGAACATGAAAAGAGCAGCCTTGTGGTCCCCTCCGAAAGTCAAAGCACCTCGTTGCGGTTTCATCCTAAAAGTATTGTTACAAATTGGGAGAAGGTCCCATTTTTTTCAGATTTTGTCAAGAATGAAAAATCATATCCGAAGGAAGCCCACCTCCAATAGAAGCCTTTCTTGAATTTCCTGAGATTGTTTAATTTTGACGTTTTGCTTATGTGCTTACTCTAACTGCCCGTGCTGCAAGTTACTTCCACTGGTGATACCGTAAAGACTCTAATGGAAGTGTACCGTATGTGCTAAGCTCAATTATCTCCATTTCTATGAAATATATAAGAATTGTGTAACCTGATAAAATATAGGTGATATTATGAAAAACAATTTATTATTTGACAGGTATATGATATATTTTATAGAACTTGAGATAATTGAGCACAAAGTGCACGTGCCGGGTGGCAAATACATTTGGTTTTCCCAGCTCGATCACAGATACCCTTACTTTACAAGTAGGCAACCATGTTCACTTTTCTGAAAACCTGTGTTAGTATCTCTCGTTTATCATTTCCCCACTATTTCATCATTTCTAGATGTTTTTGAATGTTTGTTCAAAAAAAGATCCTCGTCTATGAATGCAATTCATATCGATAAGCGATTGATAAATAGCATGAAACAGATGAAGAAGCAGACAGTGAGTGGAAAAATATAACAAAAAAGTGAGAGAGCGTGATGACTAATCTTCCCAACCATGCTTTCTATTCGTGTAGGCCTCCCAGTCTTCTTCCTTCTTTTCCCCACAAAATGTGACTTTTTTTCTCGGAGACGGTTTTGACTGTTTTCTCAATTCTTAGCTTATCTTATGTCACATAATTCGGAGGGTACAACAATTCGGGGATACGAGGTGTACAAAGTCCCCATATCGGGGGTGCAAAATTAAGATTTTTGCAGGTATTTTGTACCCCCGAATTGTGGATTCCGTACTCTCTAAATACCCTCTCGTACCCCCACATTGCTGTACCCTCCAAATTATTTGCCTTATCATGTCTAGTTTCTGATTGCCATCTCACAAGCTTTTATTCAAATTAGGATCTTAACTTCACTTGAAATCCTTTCGGGAGCTTTCTGGCCATCTTGCGACGATGTCTCTCCGCCGCCATCACCGCCTCCTTCTTCTTTTTCTCTTTCTCTTCCTTCTTTTCTTTTAGGTATGTTGCGGCCGCCTAAAATATACTGATAAAATTGTATAAAAGAATTACATTAATTTGAACCTGGATTCTCTTGGCCTTCTCCTTGGCTTCTCGGATTGGCCGCTCGGATTCCTCTCCAATCTTTTCTTTCTCATCTTCTTTTTTCTCCTCTTCTCCAGCCTCCTCTTCGACCTTTTCTGTGTTCTTCCCCTTCTTTTTCTTCTCGACAATGGTGACCTGCAATCATTTAGTGAGAAAACGTGTATTACTAGAATTGTGCTAGTTTCTTTGAAATTTGAAAAAAGAGGAGATTTCCAAAAATTACGGTGATTTCTCCACGCACAGTGCGTGTACACATAGCATTTGGCAATTGGATAGAATGGAGGGGAGAGAATACAAAGGATACTGTAGACCTACAGTAAAAAGGAGGAAAGGTCGAATAGCGCATTTGACAAACATTCACTATTGAAAGGGCTTGTTCTACCCTTCGCTAAGAAATTTTCTTTCGAAAAGTGTCATTCCTACACGTGCATTTAGTTCTTGTTTTTTTTTCAATTTTTTTAAAGATTTTTAAAATACCCCCAGAAGAAATACGGTAAATATTTTGATAGAATTTTGAGCGAATTAATTATTACCGTTGTTGCTGGCCTTTCTGCTGTTGGGTGCATCACTTCAGTAGCTCCAAGAAGATTAACGTCCTGGGCATCCACCGTTCCACTGTCAACGGCCTCCTGATCATCCGCGGTTGTCTCACTGCCACCGACCACCTGAGCATCCACGGTACCCTCACCGCATCCAGCCTCCTGAAAACAAAAAATTAAGAAAAACTGATTTTGAACGTTTGTTGGTACAGATTACATTCTTGCCAAAACGCTAAGAATTTGAATACTAAAATTATCATTTATCTCTGAATTTTAGGGTTTTTTTATGGGAACTTGCCTCAGATCTATCGTCCTTTGGGGAATTGTTCGTGGAACGATCTTCCTTTTTCAATTCAACGTGAACTTCTTCATTGTCCACCGACTTTCTGGTTGGTGGGACCACAGTTCTTTAGGAGCTTCAGGAGCTGATCTCGAAGAAGATTTTCCGGTTGAACTTGAAGACGACTTTCCCGAAGCGTCTTGAATGAAAATGGTCATAAAAAAATGGAATGGTCATAAAAATATACAACAGGTATTACAATATTCCCAATTATTACTTCCACTAACGTATAATACTTCCACTAGCGTATAAAGTATGTTGAATAAAAACTACATATTCTTCGAAGAACCCAAACAAAGAAACTCTCAGTTTCAAAATATTTTTAACGTTGGCTTTTGAAACCCAGAATAATCTTTTTTCTAAATTAATGACTCAAACAAAATATCCGTATTACTCTAATAGAAAACCTCCAACTTTTCTTGAATTTCCTGAGAGTGCTTAATTCTGACGTTTTGCTTATGTGCTTACTCACTAACTGCCCGTGCTGCAAGTTACTTCCACTGGTGATACCGTAAAGACTCTAATAGAAGGGTACTGTATGTGCTCTTTGAGCTCAGTTATCTTGATTTCTGTGAAAGATATCAAACATTTGTCAACTAAAAAAATATCGGTGATACAAGTATTTATATCTTTCACAGCAAGATAATTGAGCTCGAAGCTGCCATTCCTAGCCCTGACTTCAAGTTTTTTCCCAGATTCCATTTTTAACAGAAACCTTTTTTTTGAACATGCCTGATTTGACGGTTCTCCCGCCTGCCTGATCGCCGCCTGACTTCTCGTTCTCCTTGCAACGCTGTCGGCCTCCTCAGCATTCTCCTCATCTTTTCTCCCACTCTCTGGGACAGAGAATCGTGGCGAGCGGCGGTTCATCTTCTTCAGTTAGCACAAACAGTGGAATGAAGATTTAGAGAAAATCTGTAAGGCACAAATTTTCTATTGATAACAGTTGACTAGAAAAGTTAACGAGTGCAAAAATTACAACAAAGTGGCACATCCAAAAAAATGTTAGTTTTGTTTACAGAAGCCTCTTGAAAAGCTGAAATTGTGGACAATAATTGTGGAGAAAAAATGGGCGGAGCTTTCGCAGTAATGTTTTAAAATATTCTAGTACTAAAGTGTGGATTACGTAACAAAAGCAGCGCAATTAAACACAGGAGTTGTTTTATTAAACGCCGACTGATGGCGCAAGTTTAAAAGAAAAAATGGGTGGTGGGAACAATACAGTAACATCTGTCCCTCCTTTTTTATCGGATTTTCTTTTTTCAAAAATATTCGTTTTATAAATTAAAAAATGAGAACTTCCGACGTTTGGAGTTCAGAATTTCGGAATTTCGGAATTTCGGAATTTCAGAATTTCAGAATTTCATAATTTCAGAATTTCAGAATTTCAGAATTTCAGAATTTCAGAATTTCAGAATTTCAGATTTTCAGAATTTCAGAATTTCAGAATTTCAAAATTTCAAAATTTCAAAATTTCAGAATTTCAGAATTTCAGAATTCAGAAAAATTCTGAAATTGTGAATTGGAATTTTTGAGTTTTCAGATTCTAAATTTCCGAAATTCTGCAATTCTGAAACTTTAAAATTCTGAAATTCTGAACTCCTGATTTCCCTAATTTTTGAATTTTGGAGATTTCGAACTTCAAATTTCAAAACGGATGGATTTCGACATTTCTAAAGGATTTCAGTATTTCAGATTTTTAGAATATTAGAATGGCAGAATTTTAAAAATGTGGAATTTCAAAAATTCAGGAATTCAAAAATACTGAAATCCTCTCAGGCCTGTATGAAAGAACATTTTGAACCGATAAACATGAGACGCCGTCGTTGCTGCTGCTATCGATCCTCCCCTCCCCATCTTACTTTTGCCTATTACTTCTTCTTCTCCTTCTACCTTCTACTCACCAGACTGTGCGCACAGGAGGAACTTTCTCACTCACTGTCTGTGACACTTCTCCTTTTTTACAGGAAGAGTGTCTCTTCTCGCTAACCCTATTTAAAAGTACTAAACAAACATAACTTGGGTTTTTATTCTTCTTGCTAATTCATTGATCTATTTTTCTCCTTCATTCGAAACTTCATCTAGCACATGTAGATAGTATAATTTAAAAAAAAATAAAAATTACAAAATTTCCAGAAACTCAGAAATTCGAAAATTCAGAATTCCAGAAATTCAGCAATTCAGAAATTCAAAAATTCAGAAACTCAGAAATCCAGAAATTCAGAAATTCAGAAATTCAAAAATTCAATTTTATAATTTCAGATGTTCTTTAGAATTGCAGTTTTTTTTTAAGATTTTAGAATTTCAGAATTTCAGTATTTCAGAATATCAGAATTTTAGAATTTTGGAGTTTTAGAATTTCAGTATTTTTGAATTCCTGAATTTTTGAAATTCCACATTTTTAAAATTCTGCCATTCTAATATTCTAAAAATCTGAAATACTGAAATCCTTTAGAAATGTCGAAATCCATCCGTTTTGAAATTTGAAGTTCGAAATCTCCAAAATTCAAAAATTAGGGAAATCAGGAGTTCAGAATTTCAGAATTTTAAAGTTTCAGAATTGCAGAATTTCGGAAATTTAGAATCTGAAAACTCAAAAATTCCAATTCACAATTTCAGAATTTTTCTGAATTCTGAAATTCTGAAATTTTGAAATTTTGAAATTTTGAAATTCTGAAATTCTGAAATTCTGAAAATCTGAAATTCTGAAATTCTGAAATTCTGAAATTCTGAAATTCTGAAATTCTGAAATTCTGAAATTATGAAATTCTGAAATTCTGAAATTCCGAAATTCCGAAATTCCGAAATTCTGAACTCCAAACGTCGGAAGTTCTCATTTTTTAATTTATAAAACGAATATTTTTGAAAAAAGAAAATCCGATAAAAAAGGAGGGACAGATGTTACTGTATTGTTCCCACCACCCATTTTTTCTTTTAAACTTGCGCCATCAGTCGGCGTTTAATAAAACAACTCCTGTGTTTAATTGCGCTGCTTTTGTTACGTAATCCACACTTTAGTACTAGAATATTTTAAAACATTACTGCGAAAGCTCCGCCCATTTTTTCTCCACAATTATTGTCCACAATTTCAGCTTTTCAAGAGGCTTCTGTAAACAAAAGTAACATTTTTTTGGATGTGCCACTATGTTGTATTTTGCACTCGTTAAC